TGTTATGTATTATGGTATTATTTTCAAACTAATATGATGTTATGTATTTATAGTTTGATATCTTAATCTTATATCATGTTATTGATTAAAGCTTATTTATTACACATGTGCTACCCTATGTATTTAGAAATGAATTCAGGGAGCATGACTTGAGGGAGAGCCCTTGTTACTCCCAAATCAAATCAAAATATCATTGTGTGCCATCATAAAAAATGGGGAGATTGTTAGACTTATTTATTTTGATAATTTATTTAATTATGTTTTAATTTATTTGAAAGAGAAAAATAGAATCCAAAATTTATTTTGATGATTTATTTAATTATAAAAAGGTTCAAGTGGAAGATATTCAAATTAGTAATGATGGAAGTACAACGGCTATAAACGGCTATAAAGGTTCAAAAGGCCAAAAGGTTCAAGTGGAAGATATTCAAATTTGTAATGATGGAGTGGAAGATATTCAAATTGGTAATGATGGAAGTACAACGGCTATAAATTCAAATGAATATAACGGTTATAAACGGCTATAAACAGTTATAATTTTCATTATATACTAAAACCTCTAATGTAAACAAGTGACAAGAAAAATCAGAAAATATTCTTTGATCTATTTATTCTCTGAAAAATTCTCTTAGAAGAGTTCTTCAATTTTTGTTTACATCATCTCTCAGAAATTATATACTAAGCCTTATAGCATTAAACTTATCTTTCCTGTGTAAGATTTACAGAAAAATCAAAGCTTTTATATCTACTTTGAGAGATATTTATTGTAAGTTTTTTTTGAAAGCAAAAATACCATTTCATCTTGTAAAAGTGTTGCAAACACTGTGTTCTTGAAATCCTGAGAGTGATTGTGAATCACCTAAGATTTGCAAGGGTTTGGGCTTGTGAAGTCTATGTAAAATCCGTGGAGGATTGCTTAATTTGTAAAGAGGTTGCTAGCAGCCCTGTGAGGCTAGAAGATAGTGGAAAATCTTAAGTGAAATTTAAGGAGTGGATGTAGGCTTGGTTGAAGCTAGGAATGGCAACGGGGCGGGGCGGGGCGGGGCGGGGCGAGGCTGGGGATCACACTCCCTGTCCCCGAATCTGATCCCCGACAATAACAAAATTCCTAGCCCCGTCCCCGATCCCCGGCAGGAAACCCATTAGCCCCCCCGTCCCCGCCCCTAACGGGGATCGGGTTTTCCCGACCCCGAAAAATCCCCGAAACTATTTTTTTTTCCTAGATCTCATACTGGAAGGTGCAGAAGAGAACCCACTGGAAAATGTTTTTTTTTCCAGATCTCATCCACTTGGGATCATAACAAAATGTTTCAAGAAGAACCCACTGGAAAATGCATTTGATCAAGCTACAATTTTAAATTGTTAAACAAGTAAATGATCTTACTTTTTCATGCTTAAAAAAGAATTTTACATATCACAGTGATCAAGAAATCAAGAACTAACTGGGGACAATGTAAAAGAAATCAAGAAATCAAGAATTTTGCATATCACAGAGATCATAACAAAATCTATTTTTTTTTTCTTTTTCACTAAATTTTTTTCCCTAAAATTTCCTTAGCAACCAAACAAACAGAGGGACTAGAAAAATTGAAACCTAAAGGACCAGAAAAATTTGTTCATTATACACACACACACACACACATATATATGGACGACAGATCTGCTTTTTCTTGACCAAATTGATGAGTTGCTCAGATTTCTTGGAGGTTTGTTGTTGAATCGCGACTCGATCGGTGAAGATCGCGACTCGATCGGTGAAGATCACAACTTGATAAGCCTTAGATCGTCCGCTGTCTCACTCCAATCTGAGAGAGAGAGTGTGTGTAGTCACAGAGAAAGAGGGCGAGAGAGAGAGAGAGAAGTTGGTGCCTCTGTTGAATGAATGATTGTGTAATGTTTTAGGGTTTGTTTGTTTTATATATATATATGTGGGTAAAATGGTAATTTTACTTTGGGGACAAACTGGGCCGGGGCTGGGAACGGGGCTTGGACATTTATCCCCGTCCCTGGCCCGAAACTGATCGGGGATTGATTTTTGAATACCATCCCCATCCCGTTGGGGGTATTTTTCCGGAAAAAATCGCTCAAATAGGGATCGGGGGGTCGGGTTCCCGTCGGGCTGGGTTCAAATTGCCATTCGTAGTTGAAACCGAACCACTATAAATCTGTTTGTCTCCTTTTCCCTAATCTCTTTACTTTCTTACTACTGCTATAGCTATCTAATATTCATATGTTAATCATTTGATTTACCCTATATGTTAGTTATACTTCATTGTTATTTTGATTGATCATTTACTGCTAAGTTTATCATTGTGCTTGTTAATAATTTGCTGTACCAGTAATTAATTTTATTGGAGTATTATTAATTTTAATTTATAGAAACTTAATTCACCCCCTCTTAGATTGCTTTTTGGGTAACAAAATATATAATTTAATTGAAAATATATGACAATATTATTATTTTTAATTCATAGAATTAACAAATTAACGATTATAAAAAATTTAATTATTATATTAATTAAAATCTTTTAAAAAAATCAATTATAAAAATTTTATATATTTTTCAAATTTTTAAGAGACATAACTATAATTTATATATTTTTATTTTTTATATAAAAATATTTGTTATAGAATTTTTCCCAACTCAAATACAACACTAACCTATTTCAGTTGTTAAAACTAAAAATATTAAGTGATTTATTAATTAAGCTGGTTTGATTGCATATATGATATTATTTTGAAAAAAATTAAATTCCACTTAAAAAAAAGCTAAATTTTTCAGTCAAAAAATACTTTCACTTATCATTTAACACACTAAGTCACAATTTCACACCTTACTTCAAGCATGGTGTTTGGCTGTGATTCTCAAATGATGTTTTGAGAACTCTACACAGAAGACCTGCGTTGTTCTGTTTTTGACAGACGCGTTTTTTCTTTTGTTAGGAAAATTCTTGCTTGGTGGGACGTCCGGCCGGCTGTCCGGAACAGTAATTTTTTTTTTTTGCAATTGATTTATATAATCGAAAAAAATATTTTCTGAAATTTTAAAAAAAATTTATGTGCTTTAAAATAATTTTGAGTTGTATGTTTAGTTATGAGTTGTAAATTTCTGTATCACATATCAAATGTCACATCAACAATTCCCCACTTAAATCAAACTATTTTCAAAACTTTTTGCCAAACAAATTTTCTACACTCAAATCATAATTTCATAACACACAAACTCAAAATACAACTTATACTCTCAAATCACATTTACAAAACACAACCAAACGCAGGCTAAGATTTCGTTTGACAACACCACTTTTTAATTTAAAAGCCAAAAAGTCAATAAAAAAATCAAAGAGCCAATAATTTATACAAAAAAAATCAAAGATTCTGTTTTTTCTTTACTTTTTACACATATTTTTTGTAAAAAACTAAAAATTTATCACAAATATACTAATTTTTTTACATCATATTTTAATCAAAAAGTTATAAAAAAAGATTGTTTCAAAACGAGGCTTAAGTGGAAAAAAAAAAAGGAAAAGACGCCAAGTGATATTGGTTTAGAAAAGTAATTTCTGAAAGCATTATTTCTCACGGTTTTGGCTGCTTTAGCCCCGTTTAGTAGAGGTTAAATTCAATTTATTTCAGCTTAGCTCTTAAATTAAGTAGTTTTTGTGTACTCTCCCTTACGATTTTGACTGTTCTTCCAAGGAATTCAATTTCATCTATTGAGGCATGCAAATAAGTCTAGAAAATTATTTTTCCATTTGGATTTAACTTGTATATGTATATATTTGAATACATTATTTATGAGTTTTTTTTTTTTCTTTTTTTAGTTTATATGTAGGGTATATTATAAATACACACATAACATTTGATTAAAATACGAATTGCTTTCTGTGATTTTGAAAATTACATTTCACCCGTTGAGTTTTATAATTTCATAACAAATCACCATTTTTATTAATAAATTATCAAGTCAATTAATAATTTTTAATGATATTGAAAATATGTTTCAATTAATAATTTAGGTAATTTTATTATTGTATATGAGAATAATTATGAATTTCATTTTTTTAGTTAATTCTGTTAAATAAAAAATTATGACAAAGGAGTATTCATAATTTTTCAAATTACAAGGGACAATCTATATTTTAAAGAAACCTCAGAAGATGTATTTGTAATTTACCCTTATATGTATTAAGGCCCGCAAGTAAGTCTAGAAAATTATTTTTCCATTTGGATTTAATTTGCATGTATATACTTGAATACATTATTTATGAGGTTTTTTTTTTTTTGTTTAAAAAAAGTTATATATATTAACTTGTTTATGTTATAATTGTGATTACAATAATTTATGTGATAAAAGAATTTAATTAAATATTTTAATATAAAAAGTAAAAAGATAAAATTTTAATTTAAATTATTTTTTAGAATTCAGTAACTTATATAGATTAAATAGCTTAATTAAATCAGTACATGCCAAATAATTTTTTAAATTAAAAAATTAAACATTTAGGGGTTGTTTGAGATGCTATAAATAAATGTATTTTTTGACTTTTTATAAAATATAAATTGAGTTTAAAGTAATATAAAAAAAAAAGTGATGTGAGATAGTAACTTTTTACTTTTTATTTTTTATTTTTTTTATAGAATGTCAAACCTAACCTTAACTTTTTATACTTAGCCTCCGTTTGGGAAGTGAGTTGGCTTTTTGATTTTTTTGACTATTTTAGCCTGGGCTTAAAAGCTTGATTTGGGAAGGACTTTTTGACTTTTTGACTTTTTTGAGTTTTTTTATGAGAGAAGAATGTGATGATTATGGGTTGGATGTGATGTTTTGTTTGTTATGACTAAAATAGTCTATTTTTTTTTTGTGACTAAAATAACTAAAAAAGCCTACAAATCCACTTGCCAAATAAGCGTAATTTTTATTATCAGTTTTGTACACCTAAAAAACAGACAAGTTGTCACTAACCCTATTTATTAACAGAGTCTACGCACCACTCTCTCACCACTACAACCCACTACAAACTCACATTCATATATAAATAACCCGATTAGCCCGAAATTTCAATTCAAAATCTCCGTTTCAGCCTTCTTCCTCTGTAATAGCCCGATTCGCATCGATCCGACCTGCAAAACCCAAAAAATGGCGAGGGCTGGCCTCGCGTACCCAGAGAGGTTCTACGCGGCTGCCTCGTACGTGGGCTTCGACGGATCTCCGGACTCCTCCTCCAGAGGCGTCAGCTCCAAGTTCTCCAACGAAGTCGCTTTGCTTCTCTACGCTCTCTACCAACAGGTTTGATTTTCTTTTAATTTGATCCCGTGTTGTATGATGTCAAATTTGTGTCTCAATTTGGTTTAATTGTTGTAGGAGCTGTTTGTGTTTGTATGGGAAATGATGGGTTTAATTTCTGTTATTTTGACATTAATTGGTACAGATCTGTGTTTGTTTTGGGGGGATTGAGATTGGCGTTTGTGGAAATGTTGATCTATTTATTATGTTTGGTTGATGGGAAAATGAAAGGAAAAGATTGGAATTGGAAATTTTGGTTGTGGTTGGTAGAGTTTTGTAATTATGATTTGAGAGTATGAGTTGTATTTTGAGTTCGTGAGATTTGGAATTATGATTTGAGCGTGAAAAATATGTTTGGTAAAGAGTTTTGAAAATAGTTTTGATTTGAGTGGAGAATTGTTGACGTGACATTTGATATTTGATACCAAAATTTACAACTTATAACTAAACACACAATTCAAAATTATTTTAAAGCACATAAAAAATTTAAAAAATTTCAGAAAATGTTTTTTTCGATTATATAAAAATTAACATATCAATTGTAAAAAAAAAAAAAAAAATCACTATTCCGGTCAACCGGCCGGACGACTGGCCAGACAACCGGTTAGGCAAAATTTGCAAAAAAAAAAATTTTGAAAAGCACGCCTGAGACAGATTTCTTTGTAGAGTTTTGGAAACGTGATTCCAAAACTCCTACCAAACATCATATTCACACGTAGGTGTGGAATCACGTTTACAAAACACAACCAAATGGAGCCTTTGTTTCTTGTTTAGGGTGAATGGGGAAATTTGAAGGAAAAATTGCAAATCAGTGGAAACAACCCAAAATAATTGCAATTTTCATGGAGGTGCAAGTGGGTTGTGCTCGGCATGTGACACAACTCTTAATGCACATGAAATTGCAATTACTTTGAGTTGTTTTTATTTTTTGTTTTTACAATTCTCCCGTAATTGAAAGTACTCAAATATCAATTTTATGATTAAATGTTTTATTTCTTTTGTTTTCGGGTGATCTGAGTGACCAAACAAAGGACCAGTGTTTGCAAATGATAAAAATACACAGCTAAGACTGATATTGAAATTATGGTGGGTGTTGGGTGATGTTTATTTATATGCCATTTAGGATTTGGTGTTGAACAATTTATTTATATGATTTATTTGTTTGTATTGTTTGAAGGATTTGCTCTGCATGTGGAGCTACTGAAAATGATGGTTTTATATGTGGTGGGTTCTGATTTATTGCAGGCAACTGTAGGGCCTTGTAAAATTGCCAAACCTAGGGGTTGGAGTCCTGTCGAGCAAAGCAAATGGACAAGGTTTGTTTGCTTGAGCTCTATGATTGACTTTGCTAACTTTGAATGCACTTTGTTGATATTTAGCATGGTTTGAAGTGGTGCTTAGTTGATGCTGACATGTATTGTCATTGGGGGTACTTATATATTGGAATATTTGGAGATTAACAACTAGAAAATAACTTCCTTTTTTAAATTCATAACCATAGTTGTTAGTGTAGGCACTGGAAATGTGTGCAGGGTGTATTTGAGTTTGGCTATATTTGTGTCCTGGAGATAGGTTGCTGACCTTCTTTATAGTTGGAGAGGAAGTAAAATTGGAAAGAGGAGGAAGATGTGTGATGCAGCTCTCTTTGTGTAAATTGCTGTATTGTGCAATTTTGGCCTTTTAGAGCACTTTGAGCATTGAGGATGTGGAGGGCTGTCAGTTTTGTTCCTTTGGCCTGTACAAGGGTACAAGATGGATGTTTTTGATTGATACTAGCTTTTTTAATGGTTGGCATTTTTCGGTAACAAAAGTTGTGGCGAGGCATAGGTTTTCTGCTTTGTATTGTCACAACAAAACTTTTCAAAAATAGAGGAAGGCCAAGGAAAACATGGGTTGAGATGATTAGAAAGGATATGATTACTTCAACTAAAATTGAGAATGACTTTTTAACATACATATAGAAAATATTTATAAATTTTAAATAAAGTGTAAAATAAGAATTTTAAAGATATAGTAAAATACTATACATTCTATATGAGATTCATTAATGTAGTCATTGGTTTAATATTTAATAAAAGACAAATTAATCTATTTAATATATGAAAACGAAGTTTTGATTACTTTTTGTGATTGAATATTGGGAGTCATATTGAAACCATTGACACTTGGCAATTTGATATCTAGTAGCAAGAGGCAAGAACATCGAACAATGTAATAATGGAGTTGTAGAGGCATCATACAAGGATCTTCTGGAGAGTGGAGAAAAGAAGGCTTCTTTTGTACAATGTGGTTTCTATTTATTAATTTAAAAAATAAAATTTGTGTTGAATTTTTTCTATTACAATTAATTAAAAATTGTGTTTGGAATCATGGAGACTGTATGTGTTGTTATCACATAGGTCCACCCCGCATGACTTTTTGTGCCCTGATCCATCACGAGGAAAATAAATTAGAATCCACCATTTGGAGAATCATTTTAATTGATTAATGCACTTAAAAATAAGATTCAAATTTGTTTGTATTTTCTAATAACTTTTCCTCATTTGTTGTATTGTTTGTGTTCCTTTTATGACATTCTTGAAGTCTTGTTTGAGATTGGGGGACTGTTGCAACTTAACAGCTCATATTCCAACATTTGCCATTATGTTTTGTCAAGGGCAAAAAGTTTAGTTAAACCACAATCTATCATGCCATTTTTATTTTCCTTCTCTATCTTAACCCATGTTAAATTTATTCTATCCCTTCACCTAGCATTTTTCTAAATGTGTATAGTGTTAGTCTTGCTCCTTGGTGCAGTATTTGCACATGATCAAACCTTCTTGGTTTTCTCTCATTTTATTTCCAGTTAGAGCAACTTCTATTGTCTCACAAATTTGTTGATTTTTCTAACTTTATCTTTTCTTGTCTTACCTTGCAATCATCTTAACATGTGCATTTCGGCTATGCTTACTCTGAGATTTGAGAGGAGAATTCATTTGTTCCCCACCTTCTCAGTTTGGGTTGGGGAGTTGATGAGGTTGGCATGTACATAATGCTCTAGATGTGTCTTACCTTGTAAGAGGGAGTATAATTATAGGATAATGGTGTTTGGATCGTTAATGGGATTATTTACTCAAAATCAAATGAAAAAAGAAGAAAAAAAAGAATCTTCAATGGGGGGCCCATGTCCTTGATCTTTGTCACTGTTCATGGTCAACTCTGGTTGCTAACATCTACCTGGGTAGTTTCCTTTGCTCTTTCTTGCTCTCTCTCATACACACAGACAAACATTATTTTTCATTCCTTTTTCATCATTTTCACCTTTCCCAAACTAGCTAATCTTTTGTAACCTGTGGTATGATCTTTCACAACAAGAGTCTTATACCTAGATTGCATCACATGGTCTTCAAAGATCAGTTGCTAACTATATTTGACATCCGAACTATCATAAATCTGTTGCTACGTTCTTGAGTTGCTATTTTATAAGGTGTTCCCCTTTATGCAGTTGGAATGGGCTTGGAAACATGGCTTCCACAGAAGCAATGCGGCTCTTTGTAAAAATATTAGAGGTATTGTCAAAGTGAACTTTTCAGTTTATGTTACCGTGTTTCAAGTCTCTGATCTTATAAAAACTTACGTATAATATTTGTTTCAATATTTTATTTTATTTTTAAATAGGAAGAAGATCCAGGGTGGTATTCGAGAGCATCCAATGGCGTTGCAGAGCCCATTGTAGATGTGGAAATAAATGTGAGTATGTTGAAATAAATTTTTGGCTACACTTTCTGTAAGAATTTATGTATTATTGATTGATGTCTTGATTGATAGATTACAAGATGCATTAATTACAATTCCTATACAATCTATATATAGAAGAAAATGTGGTAGTAGGTGTAGTGGAGGTGATAGTGGGTTAGGTGAAGTGGAGTGTGTAGTGGAGTGTGAGTATGTTGAAATAAATTTTTGGCTACACTTTCAAATTATGTGATATTAAGTACGAATTAGTTTTCTATATTGTACTTTTGTGTCACAATTTAGAATGGATGTAGACACCTGCTGGAGGGTGAATGCCTTCATTTAGAAGGAGGTTGGTTAGCACGAGACGTTTTTTGAAAATGTTATGCTTGAATTGTTTGTTTCATCTCAGGTACTTTGATTTTAGTTAGAGTGCAATTTCTCATTGACCATTTCATATGTAACTGTTTATGGGAAGACCTCTGATACATGTCATCAGCATATCATGTGAATGACAGCCTTTTAATATTAGATCAATGATATCGTAGCAAGGTGTATGAAGTTGTAATCCTTGAGGTATTGAATGGAAGTACCTTGTAGTCTGTAACTTAGCTATATCTGTGCGTGTTACGAGATCTTAAATTTAGTTCTGCTTAAACTGGTATTCATCAAGTAAAAGAAATATAACAGCTGAATAGATCAGAAAATTGACCAAGGCATATGATCACAACCTAGTTTTTTGCCTTTGTCTGGACTGCTGTCTAAGACTGTTTATTTGATCATTGATCCATTCAACCCTCAAGATTGTAATATAATTCAATTCTACGAGGATAACTCCATCCTTTTCTTCATGAGGTACCATGTGCTTTAACTGAAGTTGTAGCCCTTGATTTTTCCAATTACGTCTTAATGATTTATTTTTTATGTGATCTTTTCATAGGCTAGGGCATTTCTCCCAGTTTTTGTACTTATTGTCACCATTTTCTTTTGTTTGTTTGTTATTTCATTTTCCCCCCCTTTGTGGGTTTTATAGCATTATCCAAAGGTTGAGGCAGTCACCGAAAATGGAAACACTTTTCCCGAGACAAAGACCATTCCCACTGAAAATGGGAGCTTGTTGGAAACTCAGGATAAAGATGTTGTATTGGAGGGCCTTGGTTCAGTTAATGTCTATGATCAATGGATTGCACCTCCAGTATCTGGTCCACGCCCAAAAGCAAGATATGAGGTATTGGCTTGTCTCCAATTTTAAAAGATTTGTTGGTGCTTCTTGTTTCTTCAAGCACCCCCACTCTTCTTCCTTACTCTGATCAAATGTGTCAAATTCTCAGCATGGAGCAGCAGTTATTGATGACAAGATGTACATATTTGGCGGAAACCAAAATGGACGTTACCTTAATGATCTTCAGGTATGGAAACTATTTACAGTTGTGCATGTCTTACATGCACATGTCATACAGTTTATTCATATGGAATACTGTTGGCGAATAGTAACCAATTTTTCCAGCTGTTGCCTGGAAAAACTGAATATGGTATTCAGTTCTTTAATAATGTCTTTGAGTTTTTTATTAAGTTTTTTCTTTTCTTTTCTTCCTCTTTTCTCCTCCCTCTTATGCTTCTCCATTTTTATCTTTATTCACTATGCATATATATTTATGTTTCTGATTCTTGTTACCTGTAGATATAACTTTTCTTCAAACTGAGCAAAAATGCAGGTTCTAGATTTGAGAAGTTGGACTTGGTCCAGGATTGAAGTTAAAGCCGAGACTGTGTCTCTAGAATCACCTTCTCCAGTACCAATGCCTCCCTGTGCTGGCCATTCCCTGGTTAGTGTGGAGATTAGTTTCTTCTTTTGTAGAATATTGGATGCAAAGGTTTGAAATGAGTGTTTGCACCTGTGTTGTATGATCATATCGTTTTGGTGCCTGTAGATACCATGGGGGGCAAATAAGCTTCTTTCATTAGCTGGACATACGAAGGATCCTTCTGAATATATCCAAGGTAAGAGTCATATATATTGTACTACTTTTCACATAAGGTTCTAATTTTGTTGAAAATATTTACTTTTGGTATGTCAAATACCGTAGAAAGTTTTAAATTGGCTAATGTTTGCTAGGTGGGAAAAAATTGGTGGAACATTAGGCAAAAATGATGCTTTTGTCTTTTTATCTATTGTTAACTGAATATTTATTTATAATTGATTGTATTCATCCAAACAAAAAAAACAAAAAAATAAAGGGACCCCTCTTTTTTTGATTTCTAGAGATTTGAGAGCTATTTGTGATGTATAGAATTGCTCTCTTAGTCCTGTTTTAAGTTGACTAGTTTCTTTTAATGAGGATTGTTCTCTTTGTACTTCTATTTATCTTTAATAACATTATTTTTGTTGTTGATCCAAAAATAATAATAATAATAATAAGCACAATCACATGGAAGAAGAAGAAGAAGAAGAAGAAGAAGAAGAAGAAGAAGCACAATCACATGGAATTATAGCTTATGTCTATATGGATCACTCATTTTTTTTTTTTGGATAAATCTGTATGGATCACTCTTTGCACGGTTAAATACAAATTTAGTTATTTTTGAAATTAAATTGATCTTACAAACTGTATTTGTATTTTTTTTCATTCTCATGTAATCTCTAAGTTGAAGATAGCAAATCATGTTAGCCTGTAAACACTTGATTAAGACTCCAAAGCGTAGTGCATGTACTTATCATCTACTTATGATGTGGTGGTCTCTTTCTGATCTGCTTAATTCTGGACACCATTGCGATATTTTATGATAATTCTTCCCTCACCTAAATAATTGGACTCATGCTACCATTTCATCTAGGTTACATGTGGAAATATGAGTTGATTGACATTTTGATAAGCTTTTAAAGGCTTCGTAGCTCTAGGCTAGTTTTCCTTAGATCTTAATTTAGAATTCTCTATTTCTTCTGTTCTTCTGTTCTACTTTCTTTGCTAATTGCAATCTTTTAAACTAAAGTATGTGGTTATTTAGAGATTAGCTTTTGCTTGATTAAAATTTTAGAAATAAATATTTGGCTGTGTAAATTGAACTCTTGAAAAGTTTGGGTTGTGTTTTGAGATAAATTTTCAAAAAAAAATTTGGGGAGAGAGTTTAAAATTTTTTTTGGCTTGTTTGGTTGTATATTTTGAAAATAATTTTGGAGTTTGGGATGATTTGATACTTTGTTGTAGTTGAGTAGATGTGTGTGAGAGAAAAAGTGATTGAGAAGGAGAAAGGAGAGAGAAAAAGTGATTGATTGATGTGTAGGAGAGAGAGTGATTTTGGAAATTTTTTTCAAAAAATTTGAACCAAACAAAATTTTGAAATTTTTCCCCAAAAATTATATCTTGAGATGCAAACCAAACAAGCCCAAATTTTTTTATTTTGTTCCACACAGAAATTTGCTGTGAACAATTGCTCTCTTTCTTAGTTGTAAGTTTTAGAAAATTTGCTTTTTTATTCTAAAGGGGGGATGGCATAGTTGCTGTACAAAAAGTTCTTTTTGACAACAATTGCTATTCTTCATGTGATTTCGGAGGCTTCTTCCATCCATGAATGACGGGATATGATTTTACAGGTTGATTGATAAGTGGAAGTCTCATTCATTTGTGTATCTGCTTTAGTGTTTCCTTCTTAATTCTGCATTATCGATGTAATTATTTGATCTTATTGTTTTTATTTTTTCTTGTGACAGTGAAGGCATTCGATCTGAGAGTGATTTTGGAAATTTTTTTCAAAAAATTTGAACCAAACAAAATTTTGAAATTTTTCCCCAAAAATTATATCTTGAGATGCAAACCTAACAAGCCCAAATTTTTTTATTTTGGTCCACACAGAAATTTGATGTGAACAATTGCTCTCTTTCTTAGTTGTAAGTTTTGGAAAATTTGCTTTTTTATTCTAAAGGGGGGATGGCATAGTTGCTGTACAAAAAGTTCTTTTTGACAACAATTGCTATTCTTCATGTGATTTCGGAGGCTTCTTCCATCCATGAATGACGGGATATGATTTTACAGGTTGATTGATAAGTGGAAGTCTCATTCATTTGTGTATCTGCTTTAGTGTTTCCTTCTTAATTCTGCATTATCGATGTAATTATTTGATCTTATTGTTTTTATTTTTTCTTGTGACAGTGAAGGCATTCGATCTGAAAACTCATACTTGGTCAACCTTGAAGACTTACGGGAAACCGCCGGTATTTGATCATTTACATCTTAATAACACCTTTTGTTTCTTGACAATCACTTGTGAGTTCCCAAGAAATCAAATTCCATGGGGAAAAATGGTTTCCTAGTTTAGAATCAAGAGTGAGCTTTATGCTAAGAAGCACGAACACGAACACAAACACAAACACGTAACACGATAAGGACACATCGACATGACAATTTTTTTTAAAAAATGTAGGACATGATATGTGTGGGCATGCACAAAATATATGGTTTTATATATTTTGCATGTCATGTAGATGAATATTTCATTCAAAGTCAACAAAAATATGCAACAAAACATGAATTTTTAAAGTTTAGAAGGATGGATTAACAAGTATGAATTTACATTATTTTTTATTTTATCATTTGATCCTAAGTTAGTTTTGTTCAAACTTGTAATGTGTTTCATGTGTGTCTAAGAGATGAACATGTCTCCCGAGTGTCCAAGTCTGATTTATTTATTTATTAATAAATAAAAATATGTGGACATGTGTCTGACACGTTAGAAGTGTTCGATGAGCGTCAGGAAGTGTCCGACAAGTGTCGGTGTCAAACACATGTTGGACATGAACACACCACCTTCTTAGAAGTTTTCATGCTTCTTAGGCTCTATGTAACATGATCCTAAGCTTACTTATCTCTTCACAAAACACAAGGGTATGGGTTATGTGTCTGACATGTGCAGCTAGACATTCACCTAGTGACCCAGCAAGCATATTTAGTAATTTGAGTTAACTATACACTACGTATAAAATCCCTATTATACAATGAATGCTCTATGACACTTTGTAAACACTATTTTTTACCCTAAAAAAGAGATATGAATATTTTTCCGTGTCTCCATATCCTTGGATATTAGCGCACCCGACACCAACACTTGAGTCCATGTAATGTGGATTCATAAATACTAATCCGACCTTTAAGCCTTTCATATTTGAAACCCCAAACCTCTACAATTTCCATTTTATTTATGATTGATTGATGGGGCTTCTAAAAATAAAGCATATGAGCTTTCTACTCCCATTTTTTTTCCCAACTCATAGACATAGAAAATCAATTATTTGGTAATATTTTCATATAACAAACAAGATTTTTGTGTACCATAAAAAATAAATATTATGTTTTTAATTCATTGATGCATATATAATATATTTTGTTCATTGTTGTGTCCCTGCTGTGTTTATGTGTTTTTTAATAAAAATTCTGTGTTATCCTGTCTTTTGATTTTGGATGACGAGGAACCCCAACGTGTCGTATATGTGTCCTATATCTGTATTTCTGCTTCTTAGATAAGAACATAATGATTTTTGTTTTACTCTTTGGGCACATTTTGTTTCTAACAAAATTGTAGTTTTGTTTGTATTTCTAAAGGCGTAGGTTGCTGAAAATTGTCAAGATTTAAAAAATGCCTCAAATTTGATAGATTTTGTATTCAATTTTCAAACACAAACTTGTACATTGGTCAAGTTTACCTGCTGTTTGTTTGTTATTCTTCTGCACAAGAAGCAAATTAACTTGTTTAATGTTTTCTTATGGTTATGCCTGCTTGGCAGGTCTCAAAGTACATCGGTCAAGTTTATCTGCTGTTTGTTTGTCATTCTTCTGCACAAGAAACAAATTAAGATATTATCACTTGTTTAATGTTTTCTTATGGTTATGCCTGCTGGGCAGGTCTCACGCGGAGGCCAGTCTGTGACCCTTGTAGGTTCAACTTTAGTCATATTTGGCGGACAAGATGCAAAGAGATCCCTCCTGAATGACCTGCACATTCTTGACTTAGAAACCATGACCTGGGATGAATTTGATGCTGTGTAAGATGCCTTTTGAGAAATTTCAAAAGCAAGTTTATATGTCTATTTTGCAATTTTGGTTGTTTGGCATTGTTGGGAACATTGATGAATTTAAGGCAGCCATTTGATTGACCATTTGCCACTATAATGACATTTGAGTACTTGACGAGTTTTGTTGGTGTTTGTTCTTATACTTATCATCTGCTTATATTTGAGATGTTTGAATAATTTACATTTTTCCTTTCTTAGTATTTGTAGAGTTACTGTCTTCTGCACAATGGTGGTGATCTGGCCATTATTTATATCTTCTATGTGCTGCAAGTTTGATGGTGTCACACGGTGATGCCCGCGTTTTGGCTTTTTGGCTTTTTTAGGTCACATCACCTCTTTACTTTTTTACACCAAAAAAGCCAAAAAGCTACAAAAAGGCCAAAATGCCAGCTTTTTACCAACTTCCCCAAACACCACATATTTTTCCCATAGTTATACTCTTAGGCCATGTTTGATTCACAAGACTAATAGTGAGGTATTAATAATCCTATCAAAATTAGTGTGGTATTCACTATCCAATTGGATTAATAGGATAAATTATCCATTAGATTAATAATCCCACCCCTACTCCATTACTAATAATCTTACAAATTTGTTGGATTAATTATCCATTGGATTAATTATCTTAAACCAAGATGTTAAAACAAACATAGGATAATTGGGCCCACGAATTAATAATCTCAATCCAATGCTCTAATCTATTCAATCAAACATGTCCTTTAGTTGAAAAAATAAAAATACAAGAAGTTACTCCTAACTAGATTTTCCAACAAAAGCTTTTCATTATGTTTTGAAATGGAACCAAGTGTTTTAATTTATGATTAAGGCCTCATTTGGGAACAGGCTTTTTTAGTAACTTTTTGGCTAAAATGTGATGTAAAAAAAACTAGTATGTTTGGAATGACTTTTTGGCTTTTTATGAAAAACTGTGCAAAAAGTAGAGAGAAGAGGGAATCTTTGACTTTTTGGTATGGGTTGTTGGCTTTTTGTTTTTTTTAGTAACTTTTTGGCTAGAAGAGGCAGTTGCCAAATGAGGCCTAAATTTGCAAGTCTGTTGATGTTTAATTTTCTTCATTATTTTTGTAGGGGGGTGCCGCCTTCCCCAAGGTCCGATCATGCTGCAGCTGTCCATGCAGAGCGTTACCTTCTTATTTTTGGCGGGGGTTCACATGCTACTTGCTTCAATGATCTGCATGTCCTTGATTTGCAAGCGGTAGGATATCTGTCTTTAATATTTTTCTCATGGTATAATTTGAATCTTATACACATTGATCGTGTAATTGGATGTTGAAGATGGAATGGTCAAGACCTACACAACAGGGTGAGATACCAAGTCCCCGGGCTGGGCATGCAGGTGTGACAGTTGGTGAGAACTGGTTTATTGTTGGTGGTGGTGACAATAGAAGTGGTATGTATTTGAAAACTTATTTAGATATGAGATTGATATGTGTTGGTTCCTTATATCTAGAGGCCTGCAAGCTGATGCCTAGTAGTCAACCTGAAATATTAGTTAGTGAAAGTACTTACAAAAATAAAGAAAAGAAAATAACTCGATGTGGGGGTTGGGTAAGTCAAGTTTGAAACCAAAACTTCTTGATGGGAATGGTCCGCTGTCATTGATAATGAATCTCATTATTGTTAAAGAACCCTGGGAATTTGAACTGCCTATACAGGGATCTAGTCTTGTCGTTGAAAGATCACATGAGTGTTGTAGGAGCTTTTGGTGTCAAACCTTCCTCAAGACCCACCTCAACCTCATGAGACTAGTGGTTTTTTACCCTCTGGATGATGATGATTCTACTTGCTGGGTTGCGATGCCAATCAAATAGCATTACAATATACACATTTAGAAGCTGCAAGAAGCGGAATACTGTTATCATCACAACTTTTTCCCATGAGTCAAATCTTTTATTGCATCTGATATGACAAACGTCATATTGCAAACTTGTCTTCATAGAGTGGCATTGTTTGTGTTAAGAATAAAGGGAATGCCTCGTTTCATGCACTTGAACACCCATCGGAATTTGATATGCTAGCTTACATGTGAGCAAATTTTCTTCTTGTAGAACCAGATGCATGTATGGAAAATGTCCTTGCTTTCTTGATATTGGAAATGAATGTACATCCTTGACCATAAAGCACTTGATATTTTATTCTGTTCAATGGCTCATTTTGCATGATTTAAAAGTAAAAATTTAAAAAAAAAACAATTTCATAAATTTAGGATAATTTGAAAAAATTTGCTTGATGATTGTGGTAATCTTCGAAAATTCTTGGTGTTCAGTGAAGATAAAAATCCGTTGTAGTTTTTGGTGAAAATGCTTTGTATATGCTACCACTCCTGTTTGGTGTTTATTCCTTCTTTTTAACTTTTTGCAGGGGTCTCAGAAACTGTTGTCCTCAACATGTCTACGCTGGTTTGGTCTGTTGTAACTACTGTTCAAGGACGTGTTCCTCTTGCCAGTGAGGTGTTTTGATTGGAGGATTTTTTTTAATCAATCTATCTGTAAACTTAACAACCTGTAGGGCATCTCAATTTAGGTTGCAGAATTTGTTTTCACATGCATTACACTATTTTAAAAGATAGGAAGGATATCTAGGTTGAATTGAACATTTCTAACTTGAAGGACAACTTCCTGTTAACTTATGTCTTTCCTAATAGTCTTAAATGTATATACCAGGTTGATTTAGCTTTCTGCGTAATAAACTGACCCCAAATTCTCTTATTAGCTTCTGAGGTGATGATGATCGTCATCATCATGAATATTACAACCCTAACTATTTTGCTCAATATGAACAATGACTTCACAATGCTAAGCCTTTTTCTTGCAAAGGCTAGAGCATACAAGTCTTTACATCATATTCACAAAGCTTGAATTATAAAGCCTTCAAGCACCATCATCGCCTACAACTATATAGGGAAGAGGAGTTAGCCAAAACCCAATGCGTAGTCTTTCCTAATAGTCTTAAATGTATATACCAGGTTGATTTAGCTTTCTGCGTAATAAACTGACCCCAAATTCTCTTATTAGCTTCTGAGGTGATGATGATCGTCATCATCATGAATATTACAACCCTAACTATTTTGCTCAATATGAACAATGACTTCACAATGCTAAGCCTTTTTCTTGCAAAGGCTAGAGCATACAAATCTTTACATCATATTCACAAAGCTTGAATTATAAAGCCTTCAAGCACCATCATCGCCTACAAATATATAGGGAAGAGGAGTGAGCCAAAACCCAATGCGTAGCATTAAATCAAAACTACAATAGTAATGTATATCATCATTCTTCTGAAAATAAGATTACTGAACAAAAAGCTTGATTAACTTTGAAACATATTAGCATCATGTACATTTCATTTCCAAAGCATGGTGTGTTTTTAGTTTTTTTTTACTTGAATCTACAGTTGTATACCGTTTAAATGTAGATTGTGGACTATTTAATCATTTTGTAAGTTTGACTGGATCTGCTGTTCAACCCTTTTGTTGATTGGGTGAAACATGATAACATAACTCAACTTGTTCTTTCCCTTTTGCATATATACTACACCAAACCAAACCATGGTCCGTATCATATAATGACATTATATGGGACCATTAGTATAATTGAGAATTTTGGAAGTTATGATGGATGTATGAACTATTGTCCACAATTAAAAAATAATGATAATTTAATTGAGCTGCCTTTATTTCCGGGCTATTAAATAACAAAAAGTAACTATTTGAATTGTGTCCATCACAGGGCTTGAGTTTGGTCGTGAGCTCCTACAATGGTGAAGATATCCTAATATCTTTTGGAGGTTATAATGGGCGGTACAACAATGAGGTCAAGAGTAATCTTCAACTGCTTTCGCACGGCTTATCATGCTTTGTTTCCTTCTCCTAAATTTGGTTATATTATTGCTGTTAGGTTAATGTCCTTAAACCGAGTCACAAATCAGCCTTGCAATCAAAAATGGTGGAGACTGCTGTACCTGACAGTGTGTCAGCTATTCATAATGCTACAACCAGAGACGTGGAATCTGAATTTGAAGCAGGCCAAGAAGGAAAAATAAGGGAGATTCTCATGGACAATGTTGATTCAGATCCAATGGTATTGCAATATTGCAGACCTCTCATTGATATCTGCTCCTATGAATTTTCTATCAATACGGTTGTGATATAGTTTGCATTCAACTGGATACATAATTCTTAACTCCAAGTATTGTCTTTGTTAAAGAAAATTAATATATTACTGGATTTTCGGAGTTTCTATGTATATTTAAATAGCAACAATTACTCTTGGATTATAAGCAATTAGTATGAAAATTTAAAATGTTTTGGACAACTGCACTTTTTTGGTCATATTATTAGTAGAGTTGTGAGAAAATCGTATGAACTTTTCAAATGTAATGTCTAACAGTTCATAATATCATCATAATTTTTTGATGATCTGAATAATACATGCTCCTTTTTGTCCCCCACCCAATGTAAATATGATGAATAAGTCCTTAATTTTTTAAATGTTAAAACAATTTCCAACAATTCTAGACTACCAAATTCTATACATATGTTTTTATGTATTAAAATGTAATTTACTCTTCCCCATTCAAATTTGTTCATTATGCTTCAATTCCTTAGTTACCAGTAACTCATGACATTTGTGACAGTAGCTTGGGTTTGCTGTCATTTTTTTGCATTGTAATGGGATTCTCTCCGGTTGGTAGTCCTAACTGGAGGTGCTTTGGGCTTTGGTAGGCCCACCACGAGATTCACCTTGATGATCCGAACCGTTCATTTGGTAGGTCTCTCTGATCAAATCATCCTTGCAAAAAATATACTGATCACATTTGTCTTCAAAAAATGAACGGTCTATTCTAAAAAATGAATGGTCTATTCTCAAAATTATACTTGTTCATTTTTTTGAAGACAAATGTGATCCGATCATGTGGCTACAGTTGTCCAATCAATTTGATTTTTTCACGGTTGATCTGATCAAAGAGCCCTACAAGATGAACGGTTTATATCATTGAGGTGGATCCCATGGTGAGCCCACCAAGGCCCAACAACACTCTTCAGTTGGGTTCCCCACTGGAGAGAATCCCAACACTTTTGGACTCTACCTTATTCCTGATGCCAGTTTAACTTCTGTATCTTTTAATTCTTGCCATTCTGCATCTTTGTGCTTATATTCATGAGAATATCATGCAGAGAACCAGAAGCGAAGAAAGCAATGAACCTCTTATAGCAACCCTCAAGGCAGGGAAAGAAGAATTAGAATCATCACTCAGCAAGGAGAAGATGCAGTCTCTTCAGCTAAAGCAAGAGTTAGTCGAATCTGGGGCACGTAACTCAGATTTGTATAAGGTAACTTCTTGTGTTTATTTAATGGATGAGTTTTTTTGGGAGATGATTGCTACAAAATTATTGTCCTTGTGACAGAATCCTGATGGGAAGCACTTTTTTTAAATGAAAATGGCAGAATCCTTATTTAATGAAAGTATGTTTTTTAAGTTTCATAAATCTTGATGGAAATTTTGTTGTGAAATATCTGAAAATGTCACCCATCTCCTTTTCTCCCGAGGCAATACTAGTTTTGTTTCCTGCAGAAGATTTAGCCAATCTTTTTTCCTCTGTTAAGAAAATGGCGTATTTTTTTAAGATTTTCAGACGGACTGAATGTATTTTGATTTTTACAATTTCTTTCAGTTTTCAAAAAAAAAATTCCTTTGATTCATTAAGAAAGTATGAAATAACAGCCTCTTTTACTTTGGCTGCAATGTCAAATATGGAAACAAATCATAAAAACTTGCTTTAAATCAGGGTTTGTGGAGTTAACTAGAAATGTAGTTGTTTGAGAAGGCAACCACATCTAGTTAGCCAGATTGTTACTCACTAGCTATGGAGCACCAACACTTCAAAACAGGTGCCATAGCCGTGTGGCCATGGGGACATGTATGGGGGACACACCACGTGATGTGTCCCTTTATTTTATTTTATTATTTATTTATTTTTCAGGGACACACAACTATTTTTTCCCCTCTATTCTTTAGTGCTTTTAATGGATGTTGGATGTTGAATGTTTATTACTTTTTGCTTAGATTTAAATAATGAATAGATCATCCATAGAAAAGACAAATGGTAAAGAGTTAACTTAAGAGTGACGTTATATATATTGAATTAGTGTTAGATTTTGTTAATTTTGATTGTTTGTGGATATTATATTAATCTGCATAGCAAATATGTATATATATATAATTATTGTTATGTCCTCACCATGTCTGTATCCCCAATATTTTAAAATCACTGTGTCTTGTGTCTGTGTCCATGCTTAGCTTGCCAGCCAAAATTATTGGTAGGTGATGTGGTAGTGGTGTAGTGGGTTAGGTTTAGTGGAGTAGGTGAGGTGGTAGTGGTGTAGTGGGTTAGGTTTAGTGGAGTAGGTTTAAGTGGGTGAAGTAGGTGGAGAGTAGGTGGATTTTAACAATCTGCATAGCAAATATGTATATATATATAATTATTGTTATGTCCTCACCATGTCTGTATCCCCAATATTTTAAAATCACAGTGTCTTGTGTCTGTGTCCATGCTTAGCTTGCCAGCCAAAATTATTGTTTCAGTAAAAGAGGAGCAGATTAAGTTTTATATTTTATTCCACCGAAAATCTTACTTCTCATATGCATGAGGTGATGGTATGTTCAACCAAATTCCAATGACATACTGAAATTGACACTGCAGGAGCTTCAATCTGTGCGTGGGCAGCTAGCTGCTGAGCAGTCGAGATGTTTCAAACTTGAGGTACGTGCTTATAATGTTAAGCTTTTGTGTTTGATAGTTGATGGAATATTGCTTGATTAGTCCAATTAGATAATCCTTTGCTGCGAAAGAAGATTATATAAATGATTTGGTAAATAACCACTGCATTTCCCTCTCAAACCCTCAAAAAACGTTCTTAACGAAAAAAAAAAAAAAAACCCTCATCAAAAAATAAATTACCTTTTAAACATTCAAACTTTAAGTTGGATTTGCGCCAACAAAAAAAAGGATAGAGTTAATATTTTTTCTTTTTTTTTTTTGCTCGCCATGAGATCCAAACCAAGAAGCACAAACATTTTTAAGAAGGAAGTATGATTGTGTCGGACATATGTTGGCACACGTACAAACATGTCCTATTATGTTCTTAAAGTAATTTAGACCCATATATGCTTTGGACACTTGGACACATGAAATTTGTTACAAATTTTTGAACAAATAACTTGAGATTCATTGATAAAAGAAAAAATAATACAAATTTATATATATTAATCCCTCCTTTAATGTATAATAAATATTTAAAACTACATATTTTGCGCATAGCCCCAACTTGTCATGTCAAAATTGTCATGCTGGTGTGTCCATCTTATGTCATATTTTGTCGCATGTCTATGCTATCCAAATAATTTTTTTTTTTTTTTTTTGGGGGCGGGGAGGGTTCTACCGAAGGGCCGCCGCCGTCATTTTTTGAATAATGTTATCTAGGAGGACCAAACCTTTTCAAATATTTTCCTTCACTGGAAAGTGGTGCAACCCTAATCCTTCTTTGGACCTACAGGTCGATGTAGCAGAGCTCCGACAAAAGCTGCAAACAATGGAGACCCTACAAAAGGAACTTGAACTTCTTCAACGACAAAAGGCTGCTTCTGAACAAGCTGCCTTCAGTGCAAAGCAGAGACAGAGCTCTGGTGGCGTGTGGGGTTGGCTTGCCGGAACTCCTCCTAACCAAAACGCTCCTGAAGACTGAAAATATAAACCCAAATACACAGCAATTGCTAGGTTTGCGCCTCAATCCAATTTTTTTTTTTTTGGTTCTTCGAGTATTTTTGTTTCTCTAAACCCAGTTCTTTTCAGATACAGAAATAAGATGTCTCAGGTTCACTTGGCCAGAGGGACCTCTATTAGGTTTATGCATATCATTACATGTTTTGTAATTTCAGGTCTGTAATTAAATGTGATTATTGGTGATATATTTTTGCGATTTTTATTTAGAGATTGTGTTTGTAGTGACAAAATTATTGAGTTGAAGTATAGAATTTTATTGTTTGCCAATTTTATTGCAGGGTAATTATAAAAATAAAATAAAATTCGAAGTATTTTCGGTTCTGCGCTCGTTTGTGGTTCTTTAAATTCCATCTTGAAAGATGGGGTTTTTCTAAGTAACAAGATATTAAACTGTAAAAAACAAAATTAAATTTATCTTTAGTGAATTTTTTTTTTTCTTTCAAAATTGATCTATACATTTTTAAATTTTTAGAGGCTTCTAGCGCAGAAGAGTCTTTAAAAAAAATAAAAAAATAAAAATCCTAATCAGGTTGCCCTCATTCAAAATGTAGAATTTAGGGTTGCTTTTAATTAGTTTAATATAACTAAAACTTTATAACTGACATTTTTACAATTATTATTTTTTTATATTTTAGTTTTACCAAATGCAAGTTTTTTATTTTTATTTTTATTTTGTTTAAATTGAAATAGTTTTAAATGTAATGCTTAAACTCATGTTATTTTTTGAAATCACGTTTAGAAAACATACCTTCAAAACATTTTGCAATATATTTTACAAAACAACATGAATTTTTTATAAACAAGAATTTGAGATATAGGTTCAAAATTTTTCCGATTTGAAAATCTTTATTTTAAAATCACTTGTATTTGTTAAAAACAAAATCTGTAACTCTAATTATTTTATTTAAACATTTCAAATAATATTAATTTTATCTCCAAAAATGCTAATTGTCTACCTAAACAAGATTATTTTGGAGAGATGGTTAAAAATCATCTTTTAGTTTTTAACTCATTTTAGGTCGCATTATTTCTCACGTTTTGTCAAAAAAAAATTAAAAAATAACTTTTAACCATTTTTTCAAAATAATTTAAACTTAAAAAATTCGGATTTTATATGGTTGAACCAACTTCAAATGTTACTAATTAATCAATTTTTGGACATTCGGACAAGAAAAAAAATCCAAACAAATTAGATTTATTTGAACATAAAAGTCCCAACAAATTAATCTTGTTTGACTCTTACCCTAAATGTTTTTTTGTATTTTATGATATTTGGTAAAAAATGAAAAGTCAACAAATTTTTTTTTTTTCATGATCCACATAACATAAGCCTATTTGTAAACAATATTTTTCGCTTTCTAAAAGGAGGAAAACATTTTCCAATAACCAATGTCACCATAGTACTACGGCAGCCATCACCACTTAGACATTTAAAAAAAATATATATTTTTCATTAAAAATAGCTTGCTTGGTTCTATTTTTTAAAAAACACTTTTCAGAAAATTTTATTTTCTTATTTTTCATATTTTTTTTGTTTTTATTGAATTTTTTTTAATATTTTAAGTAATTTTTTGGCTTTTTAGACACACCTAACATAAATATACCTAAAAAGTAAAAAAATTGTAAAAAAATATTTTAAAAATTCACTAAATACCATGAAGACGGAAGCACAGAAGCACAGCATATATATGTTAATTTGAAATGTTTAAATTATGGATTACGAAACCAGATCAAAATCCAAAATCAACATATTTAAAACATTTAATATATTTAAAACATTTAATAAAATAACTTACAATTACAAGAACTGCAAGGATCTTGAATGGTTACAGTACCAGGGTGTTGGTTTTCACTCAGAGCTCTTAGATATCAGAATTTTTCTAAGTCTACCGAATGAATACATCTTCATTACAATTTATACAAAATAAAGAAAAGAAAAGTAATAATTGATTGATGGAAGCAGCTGGCAGCGCATGAGGTAAAGCAGATGCTGTCGGTTGCTTTCGGTGGATTGATTGAATAGTTGAGCAGCTTTAAGCAAAAGTTGACTGGGTGAATAGTGACAATGAACAGTAAAAGTGAACAGTGACTTTTTACTATTCATCACTTTCGGTGGAACATGTGAATAATGGAATCAATATAAATACAAATTGGCAGCTTTTCTCAAAAGAGTATTGATTGAAGCTAATTTGTATCTATATAGAATCCAATGTTGATCAGACAAATGGATCTTGAGCATCTTGGAATTCTGGTCCTGAATACTGATTAGTTGATTCTTCAGAGGAATGGATCTGATCTGAACCATCTTCGGAACTGGTGGATTGGGCTTTAGCTTGATTCAAAAGTTGATGGGCTAACTGGATCATGTCTTCTTTGGACGATTGGGTTTTACCTTTGGACTTGCTTTTGGGCTGAACAGGAGGTGGAATGGGCTTCACCTTGACTTTGGACTTTGCTTGAGACTTTGATTGGGCTGGCTGAGCAGCAACAGCTTTGGAATTGGATTTGGATGATTTGGGCTTGGAGCCACTGGATGAGGGGCTTCCAAGGTTGACTGGGGGAAGACTGGGCTGGCTTCCTTGAGTGACTGCAGCAGTTGGGTTCTGCTGGGCTTTAGCAAGAGCAGGAGTTGGAGCACATTGATCAGGTGGGAATTCCTCTTGAACAATTTCCAGAATTCTGGGAACATTGTATTTAATCCACCATTTGACTGTGTGTTGGCGGATGATGATGTTATCATCAATCCCATAATGCCATTTGAATATCCATGGAATTTTGTATTTGGCAATAAATATAAGTAATAATGGAAATTGCCGTTGGTGAGTAGAAAATGGGTAAACATAGGCAAAATAATGAATTATGTTACTGAGATCATCAGGGAGGATGTCGGAAATGGCGCCATAGTGAGTCCATCATCTCAGAAACCAGGTAGGTAATTCAGATTTGAATTTTTGATCAAATGAAATGAACCAAGAATGACTAAAAGTGTCATTTTGGTACAAGAAAATCTTGAACCAAGCATCAACATAATCATGATAATTATATTGAATAGAATGACCAGGTAAATCACGAAGCTGGTTAGGGTTTCCCCATTCAGCCATAGAAACAATGTTGTGAATATAAATGGAATGGTATAGGACCTTATAAGCATAAGTGCGATCCTGGATTGGCTTGATTAAAATGGAATGGTGGTTGATTAAAATATCTTTGTAGTAGGCTAGGGTTTTCTCTGGATGGGAAAGGGTGAAATGGCATCCAGAGCCAAAATGGAATTTAGCAATGTCATTGATGGTTTGATTTCTTGGGTGACTAGGTTCTTTATAGAACAGGTTAGTAACATGTGAATTGGTATATTCAGACCTAGATGCCTTAACAGAGTTAACTGGGAATGGAGTAATTGAAATTGATTGGCTTGATACAAAAGGATCAGAGGCCAATGCAGATGAATAATCAGGACGATGAATAGTACCAAGAGTTTGGTAACGGTTAATCATGTCGAGGGAATAAGAAGGGGTAACTGACTCCAAAGGAGGAGGGACAATAAGTTGATTAGGTTTACCGGAGGATGAGACCAAAGCCTTGGAAGGAGGCCTTGGACGAGACATCTGTTGGAATAAGAAACAATGATTAGCAACCAGAAAGAAGATCTAGATAATCTTGGTGATGATGTAAACAATTGTAGTTGTGAGCAAGTAAATTGCGGCGAGCTTGAATCTGTTGGTAATTGATATACTGGGCTCGTTTGGTAGTTGGTCGGGCTAATTTGAGGCGGTGAATACGATGGGTAAGCTGTTTAATTAAGGTTTTGAAATAGGTAATTCGGGATTTATGATAAGCAGTAAATGGTGCAGTCATCCCTTACCCCCCTGTAAAAATTCCCGGGTGAGAAAATCAGGAAGGGAATTTTGACAACCAGGGATATAGGTAATATCAAAATCAAAAATACTTAAAATAGCTTGCCAACGGGCAAAAATTTGTTTACTAGCAAGATTTTGAACATCCTTTTCTAAAATAAATTTAGCAGATTTACAATCAACACGAAGTAAGAATTTTTGATTTAAAATGTCATCTTGGAATTTTTGAACACATAAAACAGTAGATAAAATTTCTTTTTTAATGGTACTATAATTTAATTGTGCTTTATTCCAGGTACCAGAATGATAGCGAACAATCTGTTCAGATGATTGAGGAGTAAGTTGCTGAAGTAGAATGCCACCATAACCAATATCGGAGGCATCAGTTTGAATAATTTTGAAGGAATTTTCAGTGGGAATACCAAGACAAGGAAGGGACTTGACATATTGTTTGACTTGTTGGACAATAGAAGTATGAATAGAAGACTAAGGAGGAGGATTATCCTTTAACCTATCAAAGAGAGGTTGACAAGTTTTCCTAAGGTCTTTATAAAATTCAGCAATGTAATTGAGGGATCCTAAGAACCTTTGTAATTGAGTTTTATCGAGAATTTCATCAGGAAATTTGGATGCAAATTCAATGGATCGACTGATGGGTAGGATAGTATTATGATGGATATCATATCCTAAAAAGCGAACTTTAGTTTGAAATAATTTAATTTTAGGAGCAGAAATAACAAGACCATGACTTTTAATTGTGTAAAAGAATGCAGTTAAATGTTTCCAATGTTCACTAAGTGATTTTGAAAAAATTAATATATCGTCAATGTAAACAATGGAAAAATGACTAAAAGGGTTGAATATGTCATTCATGATATGTTGGAATTCACTAGGAGCATTTTTTAAACCAAATGGCATGACATTCCATTCATATTGACCAAAGGGTGTGTTGAATGCAGTTTTATATTTATCTTTAGGATGAATTTGTATTTGCCAAAAACCACTTTTTAAATCGAACTTACTAAAAATAACGGCTTGACTAAGTCGTTTAATTAAATCTTTTTTATTAGGAATAGGATACCGAATCCATTCTAAGACATCATTCAAAGGTTTATAATTGATAACTAGGCGAGGAACACCGCGTTCTAATTCAGCATTTTTATTAACATAAAAAGCAGAGCAAGACCATGGTGATTTACTGGGACGAATGATTTGATTTTGTAGTAAGTCATTAATTTCTTTTTTGCACATTTCAAGTAATTCATGATTCATTTGAATTGGTCTAGATTTAGTAGGGATATGTCGTTCATCGAAATTTTTAATATATGGTAAGGTAACTACATGTTTTTTCCGATGCCAAAAGGCAGTAGGTAAAGTGGAGCAAACAGTTGATTCAAGTTTTAATTTAAAATC